GAGAGAGAAAAGGAGGTGGACAGAGAAGTCTCTCCCTATCACACGTAGAGCAGCCCATTGCCCTATCCAGGGGGGATGCCCAGTCATGCACCTGTCCACTCAAAACCACCCCAGGACACCAGACAGCTCCACCCCATCCTCGTGTGGGACCTCCCTTCACTGCCCACATCAGAGCGTCTCCCCTTCTCAGGTGTGGGAAAGAAGATTTCTCTATGTTTCTGGAAAGGATGAACAACTACAATTCAGCACCCAGGGCCAAAGTAAATCACTGTTCATGCCCCTCTACAATAAAGCCTTCCCTACTCAGCCTGACAGCAGCTCCCACACATCTCAGTGTCACAGAGAAGGGGGAGATGGGCTTTGAGTAAAGGAAAAAAGGAAATGTCAAGATGGTGTGTGGCAGGGAAAGGCTGGAAGGAGTTGTCTCCATCCAGGTGCCTGTGACAAGAAGGGACACTGTGCTGGTGACCCAGCCCACACTGGTCAGGGAAGGCTGGAGTAATGGGAAAGGAGCCCCTTGGGATGACACAGCACTCCCTGTCCACCCTGGGGAGCGGGACACGCACGGCCCGGCCTGTCACATCCACCCCTCGCCGTGAAGGGGCACGAGGGTCCCAGATCCCGGGCAGGGCCTCACCTGGAACTTCCTGAAGATGAGGTCGGGGTTGAAGTACAGCTGGAAGGGGGTGATGAACTCCAGCTGCTGTGGGAGACAGGCAGAGCAGCTGCCATCACCCGCCGCCCTCAGCCAGCCCCCGGCTTCCCCCCCAAACCCTCCACGCCCTGCCCCCCGGCGGGGTCCCCGCTCACCACGGCGGCGGTGGTGAGCACGCAGGCGGTGGTGTACGCGCGGGTCACGGCGGGCATGCCCAGGTACTCCTGCGCGAAGCCCTGGTACGCCATGGCCGCGCCGCTCCAGGGCGGGGACGCGGCGCCTTTAACGCCCCCCCACGCCCCGCCCCCCGCGGGGCGCGCCCGGCCAATCCCCGCGCGACAGGCTGCGCGCGCCGGCCAATGGGAGCGCGACTCATGGCCCCGGCCCGCGCGCGCCGCCAACCGCGAGCGGACCCGCCGCGGACGGAACGGGCCGGGGGGGAGGGACCCGCCCGAGGGACGGACCCGCCTGAGGGACCGGCCCCGTGTGCCGCCCCCGAGAGCCCCGTGCGCCGCCCCCGTGGGTGGGACGCGCCCCCGTGCACCGCCCCCCACGCCGATGGCGGCGGCGGCCAAATGAAAGGCGGGTCGGGGGCGTCCTGAGGACGGGCCGTCAGCGGCAGAAAAGGGAGAAGCACCGGGCCCTGGGTGGGCTCGCGGGGCTGCGCGGTTGGGGCAGTGCCCGGGCTGAGCCGCCGGGTCCCGGCACAGGGACCTGCCCGGAGGTGCCTCCGCCCAGTTCCTACCCCGGCTGAGCTCCGACCCCCGCGGCGGCCCCCCGAGAGCCCGGGGCTGCCAGCGTGTTGTTCCCGCACACCCGGGTGTTTGGAGGGAGAGGGACCCGCTGCGGGAGCCGGGCCGGGAGAAGGGGCGGCGGTGCCGGCTGCTTCGCTCATCAGGAGAGTCCTGTCATCACTAAGACACAAAGGGATTTGGGTTGTCAGTAATTCCTGCCAAAACCTCTCCTGCTCCTCTTCCTGGAGGAAGCAGTGAGGCGCTTCCCCGAGATCGCCCCGGCCTGTCAAGGTCGCACAAGGTCGCTGAGACCACAAGGGACGCGTGGTCCCAGCAGATGCTCCTGTTTTTCGGTGGAGCGGCAGCAGCACTTGGATTCAGCCCTCAAGAGAGAGCGGAGCGTCTGCCGCCTGTAGGACACGACACACGACAGCAACCTGACATCCTCCACTCGTGCTGATTGTGCTTTCCGGAGCTACCTGCACTGCTCAGAACCCGGCTCTAATGTTACAGCCACCCTGGTTTCAGACAAGGAGTGAACCTTGTGTTGGGTTTGTGCAGGAGAGGGTTAAGCTGTCATCAGAGCCTTAATGAGCCCTGAGATTTCCCTTTAAACCCTCAGTTTAAATGGGAAATGAAATTACTGGCAGGGGAGGGAGTCTTTGTGTCTTCCACCACCTCCGCCCTGACTGCCCTTTGATGAAGAACAAAACCCAGCTGGAAGATGACAGGACATGGGGTTAAAGCAACATATTGGGGGAGAGAGGGAAGAAGAGAGAGTCCCGTGGGTGCCTGTGAGACCAGGGACTGGGTTCCTGAACGCCCCAGGCACTGCAGTGCTAGGTAGCTGTGCTGGGGAAAAGGAGAAAACTCCTTCAGGTCAGAGCTGTGTTATAGGGATCCTGGGAATGGAGTTGAGCGTGGGGGAACATGGAACTTGAACTGCAGCAGTGTCAATAAGCTTGGCTGTGTTGTTACAGGCTTTTGGTGGGAGCTGGGATAGATGTGACAGCTCTGAAGAGGTGAGGAGAGCTGAGCTTTCAAGGAAACTCATTGGGCCAGGAGCTCTGCAAAGGCCTGCCTATATTCATGTGGCTCTTTCAGCCCAAATGCCCTGCTGCTGCAGCTCAGCCCTTCAGCATGCCACAGAACTCCCAGCCCCAGCAGGATGGGCAATGGAGTTGAAGAACTGAGAGTCAATAAATGAATAATGAATTAAATACATGAATAAATATCCTGCTCCTTTGGGTGGGTAATTAGAGGTTTCCTGTCTGTGCTCACTGAGTGGGGATGCCAGACAGAAGCTGAATTCAAGCACTAGAATTCCTGCCCCTTGATCGAATCAAGACTGGAGATGAATACTGGGAGCCTCTCTGCTGGAAGGCCTTCATCCTAGAGCTCAGTCTCACTAGCTCCCCAGAGATGAGAATCCAGATGGACAAGCCCACTTATTCACTGTGGAGGACTATGTGCAAAACAGACATTGCATAAAATCTACAAAAAAGGCATCAGTTTCTCAATTTTCTTCTTTTCCCTTGTTTGCCAGCCAAAACTGGAGAACTCTACTTGTCCAGGCTTCTACTTAAGGCCTCTTTTCTAAGGTTTGTGGGGGAAGGGGGAGAAGTGATGAAGTGCATTGGGAAGCTCACCAGCTCCCACTGGAAGAGGCCAAACAAATCCCAGTGTCACCCCTGGTTCCCAGGCTGCTTTCTGCCCATGATCTCACTCCTGTCGGAGCTCAGCCAAGCTGACTTCATGCACTACAGTATGCCCAGGGCAGCTTTAGTCTTTATTACAGTCTGTGTCACATTTTAGGGGTTTTTTGAATTATGTCCTTTCACAAGTTCTCATCAGTCCAGCCACATATTTGAGTTTGCATTACACACCTTTGTAGCGATGCCTTCTATAGAATCACGGAATCTGATAAAAAAACCCGAAAAAGCAAAGCTAAATTCTTTGTCTCAGCTGCAAGAAGGTACTGCCAGAACAGAAACACTGCCCAGGAGTTTCTTTGCTGATTTCCTCCTGCCTTGTTCTGTCATGCTCCCTCTGCCCAGGGACCCAAAGCAGATGTAGCACAGGTCTGAGCAGCAGTGACGTACCACTGCTGCCTGTCATCTGCTGGGTTCTCCTTCCTTTTGGAAGCAGTTCAAGTCATGTCAATGTGAAGCATCAGTTTCAAAACCCAAGACACCAGAAACTCAGAGTTTCCACAAAAATATGCCTGATGCCCAGACTTCAGTCCATTTTGTATGGGCTTTGAAAAAAGGTTTCTGTCTGCGGTTCTTGGAGCTGCCCAGAGAACTAATTAGAAGGATTCCTGACTGTAGTCTCTGCACAAGTCATTCACAGGAAGAACTGAAACGTGATGGTATTGGAGGCAGCTCTTTTCCGGACAGTATTTACCCATTCTGCATCTGCAGGCTTCTAGTGATAGTAACCTGTCATACTGTAAACATTTACAATCCACAAACCAACTCACAAGAAAACATTCCTGGGAAAGAACTAGTATGTTGCACACTCACCACTGTGGTTTCATTTGGACTTCAGTTTAAAAATATACATATTTTCTGAAAGGGAACAGTTTTGCATGTACACAGTGACAGACCGGTATTAGACCCTCCTGTTACCTCTGGGTTTGTTTTCCCAATTTCCAGGGTGACTTTTAGGAACATGCAAGCATTTGCCTGGAGTTGCAGGTAAACTGAACCCTGCAACAGAAACTCAACAGCTTCCTGTCTCGGTTTATACAAACCAAAATAGCAGAGAGTTAAAAAACAAAGAAAAAAGCTATTATCTCTCCCCATGGGTTAAACAGCACATAAACCTCAAAAAGGCACATGAGCAAAGATAAATGGGCTGTTGCAGTGTTCATCTCTTTTGTTTGTTGTAAATTATTGTGTGTAATTCATGTTTCCTGTCCATAAATACCAGAGGAACTTGGAGACATGGAATCCATTCTAATTCAGTAAAGACAAAAACAACTCCTTTTGAGCCCATCTGGAACTTGTTTTTATCATAATTGTTTTGGGCTCAGTAACGAGTTCAAGATCTAACTGCCGTCACTAATTGTTTCAAGAATAAACAGATGCTTTGTTTAAAGGTGGCAGCTCCCATTTTGCCCAGCACAGCACTCTCTGGGGTCGCAGGATGAAAGGAGCTGTGCGCCGTGTCAGCACAGGCCCTAACGAGCATTGGCGCCCTTGTCGGGCGCTCACCCCGCTGGCAGCTGGAAAACCAGCCCCCAGCCCTGCATGTGGAGTGTCCAGCCAGTGACGTGTGCCCTCTGCTCTTTAACACCGCTGGCATTTTGTTTGTAACTTCATCTGATGGCATTTTGCAGTGTGTCATGCTGTGACAAGTCATACCTGCTCTGATGACGCATAGGCACCTCCTCCAGCGGGGCTGTGGGACACTCAACGGAGAGTGTTCATTCCCCGGCCATATAACCCCAAGCCCCTTGCCTGGAGTAATGCTCCACCCCCTTGCTTAGAGCCCTGCTTATTTTCTTCATTTGAAAACAAAGATACCCCACACAAACCCACTCTGAGAGACTCCCCCCACCAGGACATGAGACCGTGGCAGTTCTGTTCAAGGCCTCACTCATGGTGCTCCCCAGGACATGCTGGGCCTGAGACCCCTGACAGCCCTGATAGAGAAGAGGTCATTGCATGACCGATGCCCCGGCACTAGGAACAGGTTCAGAAAGAGCAGCACTGAGCTCCCCCAAAAGGGAGCCACACCAGCCAGGGGGACCTCACTGGAAGGTTATTTCAGCTCTCACACTCAGCTCTCAGTGGCACAGACAGCAGGTGCCAAGAGCTCCAGGTCCACCATGGAGTAGTCACTAGGAGTTTCTGCTCCGGTTTAGGCTCCATGAACCTGCTGTGCACAGATAAGCTGTGTAATCAGAACTGCCTGAGGCACTTGAAATGTTTACTTTTCCACGTTTAGTGACCATATATAAATTCTTTCTGCTTCATTGAAGGGTTTCTTGTCCCAAATCAGCTAACTCTAGAGTGTCGTGGCTGAAGTCAGGAGAAAGGGAATCATACAGATTTGGATGGATTTTTAAATTTGTTTGTTTGTTAGAAAGAAACTAAAGATAGCACTTAGACCTCAGCCCTCCAAGGACATGTGGTTTGCACAGGGTTTGCTGTAAATCACAGTTTATGTTATTTTTATTTCCTATGGGTTTTAGTTCAAAAACACAGCTTTGCATCTGGCATATCATGAAAAAGAAGATTTCACTTAAATCTCCTTGAGCAGAGCCTGATCACATATCCAAATAAAGCACCTCTTCCAAAACAGCTTCTGATCATGAGTTGAAGACATCAAACAAGAAAATGTCTGTCTTTTTGCACAGTTATTTTTTTTCCAGTGTTTAATCATTCTTGTTAAATTCTTCTGCCTTGTGATCTGTCCTCTACACCATAGGTCACCTCCCACAGCTGTCAGTAGGGAATATCCTTCAAGGGCCTTTATTTTGTAACATCCATTTCATAAGCACTGTGGCCAAATCAACGAAAGAACTGAAAAACAATCCCTTTT